TGGTCAACTCTTAATTAAAAAAGTATAATCTGTCAATGATGCCATCAAATACTAAGCACAAACACTCCTCTGTTAGTAGGAGGCATATTTATGGATCTCACTTTTATTACTTTATTAGCATTTCACACTTTATTGGTATGTCTTATAGTGACAGTATTGGAAGTTGTGGAACATATATAGTCTACTGGTGTTTAAACAGCAAAGCAAATATTGTGAATGTCTGTCTGGCTTTTATGCCACCTTCCATTCTAAATCATATTGTTTTGTTACAATGCTTCCACAAGTTTTCATGGGATTACGCAAGTATCACAGAAAAACGTGGTCTTTCATTATTTTCCATTTTGTTTTGGTCAGTTTGGTCAGTTGGGTTCAGCTATTTCAGTGTATCCCTTCCCAGCCTCTTGTCCACCCTCAGCCTACTTGCCTTTGGGGGAATGGGGAGGAGGTGAGAGACAAGAAACAAGAGGGGTCTTGATGCTGTGGGATAACTGCTTAGCAATAGCCAACACATCAGTGTGTAATCCACACTGTTCTAGCCACAGACGCAAAGCACAGGGCGCTGTGGGCTGTTGGGAAGAACATTAACTCCATCCCAGTCAGTAAGCCTCTTACTACCCTCCGTGGACATGAAGTATGTTATGATGCTTCCCAAAAGATCTGATGTTTCCTTCCCTCTGTTATGACCTTACTAAAGTTGGCAAATATTAAACGTCTGCATCTGGATTTTCTTATTCACTATGCTGTGAGGTGTAAATTACTTCGCTTACTTCACTTTAAAAAGAATAGCATATATTTTAAGCAATTTAATCTGAAGATAAAAATTTAAAAACTTTCCCCAAACCAGAATTATTCACAAAGATAATAAATGGATACTTTGAATCTAGAGCCCTTCATTCATTTTAGGAATTCAGTTTTTGCAGTCACCTGTCAAAGACAACCATTAAAAACTACAACATACTAAAAAAGAAAAGTTTGCAGACAAATTTCTTTGATATGGCAAATAGTTCTTGGCAATGAAAGAAAGAAACTGTGATGTGAGCTGTTCTTTTATTTTTGCTTATTATAATAAATGCCGACCTACAGATGGAATTCAAGCTGTAATTCCAAATATATTAAATTATCTACTTTAAAAAATGAGTCAAGTGAGTCCTCCCTTTTAAAAGGCTGTGAAAAAGAAATCATCTTTTTTTTAAACTTGCCAGTAGAAAAGGGGATAAGCGGGAAGTACAATTGATCTCATCTAAAATCTTACAGTTGAGAACATTTATTATGGCATAAGGCAGAAAGGGATAGATACTTATAAATGAGATCCAACTTTCTCTCCAGATGCTTTCTGCCGAAATACTATTCAGAGTGAACCTTTAAAACTTGAATTTGGAAAGCATAATCCATGCTAAAATAAATCTAAGCTGATATATTCATTTGTAACAAAATGAATGTGACACACGATGGCTACGACAATATGTAATTTCACCCTGAGAATTCAGTTTTCAGAGGTGATTTAATTTTCTTTAAAACATTATTGAAAACTACAAGACACAGATTAGAAACCTTGTCCCATATGGATATTAATTTTGATAATGTTCACTCTACAACTAAAATACAATAGGCAAATCCACTATTTGCTAAGCCATCTATGATGGAAAGGGTTGATACATAATTGTTTAAATACTCAGTAGGATTATCATTCTAATGCTTAAAAACTCTAACAGGAGGTAGGACAAAGGTTAGGAAAATTAGATGACTTATAAATGCTTCATTAAATATTTTTTCAGGCATTAAAGCAATCCAGAAGGAGGACACGAACTCAATCTACTGCTCTCTGTAAAGTTTGTACATACAGTGTAAGACATGGTAAAGTTAAACTGCAGTGAGAGATATGTCCATGGTATGGAGCTGTTTGATAAATGCTGTTGCAGTGTTTGTCTTAGTCCTCAAATTGTGCCTACTGAAGTCAATGCGAGTTTCTTACTGCATCTACAGGCAACAAATAAGGTCTAGATTCCTTACATTTGCTTTGACATTCTGCTTGATATTCACAAATACAGTGCTGTTCTCCCTGCTGTTGTGTTTGTATGCCAATGTACGCAGACATGCACACTATTAAGACCTAGATGTAGGATTGAATTCTCTGCTTTCACACCTGAATGCCTACCAGAACGAGTTACTGTGCACCTTTCACGTCATGGGGACGTATAGCCTTAATTAACCAAGCTGTGTTAAAATCACAGCTCCAGCATTTTGATTTAGCAAAGTGTTTAATCCTGTGCCAACTGTAAGCATGTAAGTAGTCCTGCCGAGTTAATGGTGCTCCTCACGTGGCTGAACTTGAGCATGTACTTAATTGCTTGATTTGGGGCCAGAGCGCCCAGAACGCTGTGGGAGGGAGCTGTGGGTGGGGGAATATGCTCTGCTAAGGCAGGCACCACTCAGGTAGTAATGGCTTAGTTCAAAACTCTTTCTTTCCTACAGGCCAAAACTTTGAAGAAGCCAAAAGTTTTTGCAGTTTTAAAAGGATCATCATAGCTCAAAATTCAAGGCAATAGGGGGAGTCAGATGGCAGTACAGACTGGATATAAATCACAAAAAAAATAGGATCAGAAAGAACAAGAAGATTATGAGATATAGAAAAATGTCAAAACTAATAAGAGGAGATTTCATCTACCCAGACACACAGGAACAGGGACACAATGAGAGAAATAAATCAAGCAACAGTCATGTACTATATCCTCAATGTATTAAAAGGTGGCAAGAAAGACGAAAATTCTGACTTTCAACTGTGCAGCTGTTAGGAGACAGAGGTGGAGGACTCACTAATGACCATAATCCAGTTGGATTCATTACTGCAGACTGAACCACCAAGAGGAATAAAAAAGCCCAAGGACTTTGAATACAGAAGAATGGGGAAGTGCTGGAGGCAATCCAGTGGGTTAAGCGTCTAATGGGAGGAGTGGGAGGAAGGAAGGACACAGAGGAAATGGAAACTGTTCAGAAAGCAATTACAGCATATCCAAGGGTGATGTATTTTATCCAACAGTATGTACACTAGGAGGAGAAAAAGACCATAGCAAATAAAAACAGAATTGAAAAATATATTAAGAGATAAATAAAAGGGATACATAAGCAGTGTAAAATTTCAGGTGCAGAGGGAGAACGGAAAATATATACAATTAATTTAAGATACATGAATGCAAATATACAAAAAGTGCAAGTAGATAATGAAATTAAATTAGAAATAGGCTAATATGAGAGTATATCCCTAGCAGATGCAACAAAAACTCTGCAAAGAAAGCAGCAGGTTTTCAGGGTGAAACCAAAGCAGCGTGATACTATATGCTGGTTCAAGCCCCATTCCTCATGGCTGATTTTACTGTTACTGAAAGAAAAGCAATTGGTAACACTTGTTTTTAGACAAAGTTTTCTCCATTTGCAACACACTGGGAGAAAGACAATCCTGCTATCTCCATCTCACAACCACCAATCCCAGAGCATCCCAGGTGAATGAAATGTAACCACATATTATCCTTAGCAAACACTGCAAGATGCTCGGGCAGTTGCCTCTTTCACTGCCATTTCACCTTCATTTTGCACAAGCTGGAAATTAGAAAATAGAGGAAGCACTGAGTTTGAAGAGACATTTTCAGTTTAGATAGGACACATTTGTACTTTCAGGCCAGTTCAGGCAGTCAGATGGAAAATACATCTTGGTATAATTTTGGGTGTAATTTTTGGATAGTTAGTTTGCCTGGGCCAAAAACATCCCAAGAAGCATCCTGAAAAATTATAAATATCTAGTTAAGCTGCTGTGCCAGAGAGTGTTCCTCAATATTACTTGAGACTGTTGCCATGTGCCCTTGTGAAGAACTTCCTTCTAAGCACTCTTCTCTTTCTGTCTTTTCACTAACAACTGAGGAAATATATGGAGATCTTCCTCCCCAAGCCAGTCATTGGCCTTTTCCGTTCTCCAACCCTCAGCTAAAAACTTAAGCTCATAATACCAAAATAAGACAAGGTAAGATGGTTCAGGTCAGAGGACTTGTAATATCTTGGAAGCATTAGCAACAATACAGCTTTAGCAACTACTGTCTTTCACAGCTATTTGATAGAGTCTTATACAACTTCATTAACTCATTTTCTAGGAATGGAAAAATTGGGTTTTGTGCTGCCCAAAGTGACATTCCTAGAGTCAGCCCTTCCTATGTGTTTTCTCCGTGGCAACATATTTCTGTCAGAAAGCTACAGCTGAAATTTAAAAAACAATAGGAAGAAGCATCAAAACAATAGACAATTAGCCAGCAAAATCACACTACCTCTAATATTAATCAGTTAAGTCCACAACAGAAAACCTTTCGTGAAGAGCAGAAGGCTACATCTCCTAATTTACTCCTGCTAATAGTGCCAAGGTTCTGGATTTGAACCCTGTTTGGGCCATTCACTTTATTTGGACTCGATCCAAACTCCAACTCAGAATATTCTGTGATTCTGCATATTTGAACCAGAGTAATAAACTGCGTAGGACAGCATTGTTACTTTAATCACTTCTGTCTACATGTCTTGTTTTGTGAGCAAATTTTCTCCAGTTTTGTTCATTCAAGAGTCTGTATGCTTTTGGAAAGCAAAATGCAACATAGGCAAAGCCAAAAGCAACAGTGTTAAATGACAAGTGGCAATAGGAGCAATGTTGTACAGTTTGAGAAACTGTTCCACTCAATCAAATGTTGCATTTGGAAACAACAGATAGGAGGGTAGGTACTTTCTTATCACCATTTGTAGTGGAAGTACAACTGCAGCTCCAGTCTGTTTGAGATGGCGCAGCACACAGTGGGATACAGAAAAATAATAGTCAGAGATGCTGCTTAAAGCCACAAGAGAAAGCACGGATTGGCTTAACAAAGACACAAAAAGCCCTTGATATTCATGAGATTCAGTAAGCGCTGATAAATAGCTTCTTCTGATACTTAACCCTTTATAACTTATGCTTGTTTTTATTCTTGCTGTAGTATATGCTCTCACTCTTGTGTGGAACAGAGCTAGTGGAAACATTCACTGGGAAAAAAGGTGAGGACCACATACACCAGATATTATAATGTACCACTTCCCCTGTAAAGCATAGTGCAAATAATTCCCCCATGACAGCTTCTGAAACAAGAAAATATGTAAAATAGATACGGAATATTTGGAGGTTTTTATTGTCGTTGTTTAGTATTTTTCACACTAGTCAAAGTTGCAACGACAGATTTCCTGTTCTCAGACATCTCTGGCTTTACTCCGTTCTTTCAGAAAAATAAGCATTTATCTCCTATTGGAGTTTTCTTTAACACAAAACAAAATCTGAAAACAACACAAATCTCTTAATATTAAATTGCAATGTTAAGCAGAAATACAAACTTGAACTTTATTGATAGTTATACGAAATTACTTTATTTGCTTACATATAAAACATGTTCACTGCAGTTTAACACATCAAGACTAGCTAATGTATAGAGAATATATTGCTCTTTATACAACTTCCACATGAATATACAGATTTAATAGCATAACTCTATTAATCTCACTTAATTGGCATAAAATACGCTTGACTATAGATATCTCTGTCCCTTCTGATGTGAGTCTATAAACCCGTGTATATTTGTACTGTCCTTTATAATTCAGGAGCACATATACTGTATATAAATGTTCCTTGACTTTGCTTTTCTTTCAAGTACTGCATGAGTGAGAATCTTCAATAACAGAAATAAAGCACTTAAAGCTATCTGCTCCCCTCTGCGCCTTTCAGCAATAAATAATACCCCAATCCTGAAGGTTAGGCTAAATCCTTGCTCTTGCAAGGAAACCTTCTGATTTCAATTGTGTTCCACATAGATCAAGCTAAAAGATAAAGGTTTAAATCACTAATTGCAATAGTTCGTTGTTTGCGTTTTTTTGCATAACTCTGTTTTTTCCTACAAAATATTCTGAATTTCAGAACATGGAAAACCAGGACATTTGGCATAAACTTTTTATTTGAGGTTTTTTTAAATATCTGAAACATACATTTTATGTCTTCTGAACAACAGTAAAGGTATTGGAAAAAAAAAATACTTTGCTGAAACTGTAATTAAAAAAAAAATCTTTCCTAAAACCTTTTTTAGGTGAGCTAAATTATATCGGACATATATAAATAAAAAAGAGCAAAGAAGAACATGAACATATATTACTAGTGTAATTCATCAAAAATAGTTGACACTTCAATCTAACCCAGAAATGAAAACACAGAACTTTATAGAGTTATAGGAAGTAAGCAATTTAAACGTACCATGGCACAAGGTCATCTAACAATGAAGCTGGGAAGATATTCTCTTTTTATTCGCTTTCCTTCACTCCTTTAATCCTTCTGAATCTATCAAGTACAGATTAATATAAATCTTTTTAACAGCCAGAGGTGATCTTCAATCAGATAATTAATAGTAGTGGTCCAAGTTTTCTATAACAGGTCCATCTTTCCATTTTAATATAAAATGAAAGGGTACTTTATGTAACTAAGCTATCACTCTGGGAAAGGTTTCTTTTTCCATAATAAAGTCATGTATGCCTTAACTAATTAGCTCATTATTTTAAAATGTAATTTTTTTGTAAAACTCACTGAGATACTTCATCATGCTTAAAAGGCTACTGATGTGGAAAAAAACAATTCTCGGAATATACTCACTGCTGCTCATTCAAAACACTCACTTGCCGAATCATTCCCCACATACTCAGAGCTAAATATATGAGGCAGAGGAAATGCACTCCATTTGCTTTGAAAGTAAACCTCCAAGGCCATTTCATAAGCAAAAATCATATCCATGTCATAGAGATACTGTAGTTAAGTTTATGATTCCAATTTGGCTTGGAGAGCCTTCCATACTCTAGAAAAAAATACTTCACTAATCTATATGTAAATACTTCAGTAAAACCACTGAACAGTGATCAGGTTCAGTATTAATATCACAAATTAAAGATGTCATCTGAAAACATACCGTCTAGAAGAATGATCAGAGCTCATGCTGAAGAATAATCCGTGTTTTCAGCAGCCTATAAACACCATGGAAAAAAACTGCAGTATTGTATTCATTGTCTCAGTGTTATATATGAAAAACAGTAAATAATGAAATACAGCCAGTGATATGGTGGCAGCAGGATGGGTAGCAGACAATCACATGGAAATGTCAGCCTGAAGAAACTCATGGTAGGACTAGCAGATCTATGTTGTACAGTTCAACTTGGGAATTAAATATACTTTCTGGGCTTGCATTTCTATTATACACTGTTAAATAAGAAAAAAACCAACCCAACAACACAAATAACTCCTCAATTTCTAATTATTTTGTTGTCTTAGTCAAAGCGTGTTTATTTAAGTAGATGCAACCGAACATTTATTTGCCCTAAGGGAGAGTGAGAGGAATTAGCCAAATACCTTTTTGAAGTCCTATCAAGAGGCAATGATAGTTGTATTGGAGGAAGGCACAAGCATCCCATACTTCCCAATGTGTTTAGTGTTTTTGTAGCTCCTAGACACATAGACTGTCACCTGTTTACACCACTGTCCACCTCCCTGTAGGCCAGCAGTGCTCTGCCTCGGGACTCAGTTTTCACACAGCAGCATGGAGACAAGCCAGCTGGAATGGGCAAGTCCGTGGTAAGATCTCATTATTGTTCTTGCTTCTGCTTCTCTCCCTTGGCTTCGCTGTCTTATTTTGAGCCTTCTGGATCTGTGACACAGACTGAGACAGTATAATTTTTCAAAACAGTAACTCAATTAACATATAAGTTAGCTACAAGACATGTGGGGCAGGAATCAGGTCCAGACCATAGATACGTAAATGCAGGGGACTACCTATGCACTAGATACAGAAGATCTCATTTCAGACGACAGAGGTTAATTTGGTGCCCACACATAGCTGCTCAGTTTCATTTGAGATGGATGACCTTAAGTCTCAAAGACATCAGCCAAAGGTTAGATGTAATACAGAACTTACAGGAGATTCTCAGTTGCAACTGATATTGGGATGGCAACAGGCACTAGAGCAGTACCCTACAGTCTCTCACATGACACTACAGGTCCATAGCAATGTCATATTTCCCTGCTATTCAAGAACCTTGTCACTGTACAACCTATTATCTAAACTCTAATACAGAAATAGTATAAACACAAAAAGAAATGGTCAATCCATCCACAATTCCTCATTGTTGGACCTTGTTGGGCCAGCACAGCATAAAGAGCAGAAAGCAACAGAATTCAATAAGTGTACTGTTGAACAAGGCAGTTTTCACACAGAGACTCAGAGACTCAGAAGGGAAAGGAGGGTTCTCCATTCTTCAGTGCAAGATAATTCTAAAATGGTTTTAAATTGCAAGGTGCTAAGAGACAGGGACACTTTACCTGAGAGATGAGCTGCCATGTCTCTCACTGCTATGTCAGCATAGAGATAGGCACATAGGGAAGAGCTCTGGGTAGCTCTGCCATTTGAATGGTCACAAGATCTCAATGTGCAGTAGGCACCAAAGAGAAGACAGGACATCTCTGCAGCAACAATGAAGAACCAAAACTTAATAGACAAAAGTAAGTGATGAAAAAAATGTCTAGACATTAGATTGCTGGATTCCAAAAACTGGATATGAGAAAAAGAAAAACTACTAAGTTTAAACAAAGCCTTGGGCTGACAGAGACTGGGGAAAAACCTCAATCTAAAGTCCAGACAAGGATCCATTGATGTCACAGGTTTGGAATGTCCTACCCAAACCTGGAGAAACCGTACCCTGATCTCATCAAACCTCTGCATAAAACCCATTGCGTTCCCCCCTTGCATGTGTATACTCTGTAACCCTTTGCAAATGTATATCCAATACATAATCCACCCTGTAAATCCCCTAAGATAAAATGGGTTTTTCCCAAGAGGTAATTCCTAAGACCCCAAGATTTGTCAAACCAGGTTTTTCCCTTACCTCATCTCCGAAAAGTCCTCAATTGTAATACCATGAATATGTAAACCATGAACCCTTTAAATATGAAGTTGTGAGCTCAGTAAAGGATTCCAGTTTCTTGCCCCCAAGCTGGGATCGCATTAGATATCTGCTTATTTTTGTATGGCCCATGAGAGAACTGAACTGGGGGAAGAGAATGTCATCAGAGCCTTCTGATCCATTTCAAAAAAGTTATTCTGTATGCCGTGAATGACATTGGATTTGGCATGCAGTTAGGCTGAGAAGGAAGTAGGAAAATGGGTACTGCAAACAGCAAAGCCAGAGAAGGCCTCCAAATGTGTAGAAAGGAAATCTAAACTTGATGTCAAAGTCTAGTGTCAGATATCATGATAATTAAGCAAACCCTAAGAGACTGGAGATCCGCAGGAACCAATTTGCCTTGCTTGAATACTGTCAGTGTAGGTCATGCCCTTTGGAGTAGGACCAATCAGCTGAAACCTCTGCTCACTCCTCATTTCCCATGTGGCAAAGGAAAGGTAACAAAACACAGCTTAGAAGGTAAAATAGTCTACACCCACAAATACAAGGAGACAGGAAGACTTATGTAGTCATCCTGTGATGTGGGAGAAGAGATCTCTGTCCTCCCATAATTTGTATCTGATAACCAAAACCAGGAGAGATGGCAACCAGGAAGCAGACCAAAAATACTTATCACAAACTACAAATTCTATTTGCAATTATATTTTAACTGCTTTCAGATTACTTCAGTCTTTTCCAACTGGAATTCACCCAAACAATAGATTACAGTACAAAATATTTTATAGATGTCATCTAGAACTGGAAATTGTGGCACCAACCCATGGCCAGTGTGCAAGGCATGTGCAATAGGGATGACAATTTGTCTTCACGAAAGCCATTTGACCTCAATATGTTACAACAGTCTATGAAACTGCAAGTTTTTAATACTTTACATAATTGCCCAGATTTGCCTATGATTCCAGATCTTCATTTTGAAGTCACTATTTTATAACAGCACAAAAGGAGCTTAACTTGTCAAGTGGCTGGTAAAGCTGAAAATGAAATATCATGAGAAAATATGTCAGGGGTAGACCTTTCTGACCCAAACTTCTGTTTTGCCAGCAGAACAATTTTTCTCATCAGTCACTGTATGGGCTACATCAATCGTACAGCTGATGTTTTTTCTGGACTTGCATCAAACAATCTCAGCACATTGACCAAGACGTTCTTCAATCTCTGTCCTTTCATGCTAAATTCAAAAGTTCCCTTTTCATGTGCACTCAACAAATAGACATTCATAACCTTAGAACATACAAATATGACGGATTTTATTTTGAAGGACCTAGAATAATTAAATGCAACCAACTTGTTTCTGAAAGGTTTCCTTCAGCTGTGCTTCAAGGATATGACATATTTGCTGTTTTTTCTCAGTTTTTGATTTCTTTTACTTTGTCAGGGAAAGCAATGATGTTATATATCACATAAAATGTGATGTAGTATGGAGTGATGAGTGACAAAATCCAGTAAAGAGTTCAAACAAAAGTTTTTCATATCTTAATCCATACAGGATTTTGCCAATAACATAAAAAAATTAAGATTTCGCAGATACCATTAACCAGAATTTGACTGTCTAAAAGAATAGAAAAACAATTTCTTAGCTCACAAAAGCATGAGCAGTCAACAAAAAAACCTCATCATCATTAGGAATGCAAATTCAGGATAAATTTATCCAATTATCTTACTGAAAAAAATCTGTGAAAGTTGAAGTCTGGAAGTGAAAGACCCCAAATCCATTGTTCATTTTTTACTTTCATTTTATTTCACCTTATGCATCTGTGTAATTCTGTGGCTTCTGCTGTCACTGTATCCAACAACCTCTGAAATACTTATTTTTTTTTATTTCCCAGGTTGTAGAAATAGCTTGACTGTTATATGCACCTACGCATAAGAAAGATTGTAACAGAAACATTATGCAAAGGACTTCTTTTTAAATGTTCTCTTCCAAATGCGGTAATCTCCATGCTTAGTCTCAGGCAAGCACAGGCTGCTAGTAACTACCCTTGGCAGCCCCAGGCAAGCATGGTTAGGAAGCACCTGGCAGCATGAGGCACAGCTCTCAGGGAGGAGGTTAGCTAACACAAACACCACCATGGTGGCTCATTCTGAATCAGTGCTCCCCAGTGATACCAAATAATTTCAAACTGTGAGTCCAAATGATTGTGGAAGAAGGAGCAATTAACACACACACACACACACACACACACACACACACACACACACAC